GCCCACTACAAAGGATTTGTTTTAACAATCCGTGATGCTTTGCCAGCCGCGCGACCGTACCTCCGCCGGAAGGGACTCCCATTTCCTGAATTACCCTTCGCGTCTCGCGCTTCAATTAACGGCACCCTTCACTTTGAGACTGCCTCGACGGCGCGAAACGCAGTCGGTTCCTTGTCGAGAGAGAATTTGCAAGGACTTAAGGATGTGCCATCACGAACTCGTCGACAATTAATGTGTATTTTCGTGCACGGGGAAATTGACTCGGCACCACCGCGTCCGGGCAGAATTCACATATAGATGGCCCAATTTCTGAAAACGTTGACTCGACAATGCCTTATTTTGAAGTCAAGCGACCGCCTGGGAATTAGCTCTTTGTTTGGCGTCGAATGAGTTTCGCGCTTGCATATTAATAAATGTTAAACTGAGGCGCCCAATTTCCGCCGTCCCCCTCCGCCGTTTATGTCTTTTCCGCCGGAAATCCGGGTCACCGTCAGTTTTTACTTTGTTCCGTCGATCGACTTACTTCGGTTCCCGTTTCTCAGAAGTTTTGAGACGTCGCGGCAAGATGCTGCACTTAAAAGTCAGCGAGCTTCGACGGAAGGTTCCGCGGGCGTGCTTCAAGGGTGGCGGGGAGGAAAAAAAAAGAAAAGGTCACGTATACGTTGAATATGGGTCAAGTCAGCATAATTTAATAACGTCTGGCCTAAAAGGTTCCGCGACGGCTTCGATGGCCGTCGTCAACACTAAATTCCGAGCGACGCGTCTTTTCGCGTGCAGCACTGACCTCGTCGACTGCTATTATGATCATGAAACAATGAAGACTCATTGAATTTATCATTAGGTGCATTATTATTTCGGTAAAAATTATATATTAAATCCGGAATCGGCGAAATTCCGGAAACAGATACAAATTTATCTCTGTCGGATTTATCGCGCAAATTTTAATCGACAGCTCTTGATATCAAATTTAATTAAAGCAATCTATTAGCGAAATAAAACGAAATTTTAATAATGCACATATTTATAAGCTTGTGTGGCTTACGCAATGCAGAAAATGGCGAATCATTTATAATATTATTAATATATATTTTCGAACATCTTATCCTACGATCGTCCAATAATTGTTAATTATTATATAACGCAAGTTAATTATTATGCGCGATAACGCTGATCATGCAACGCATTAATGATTAATTAACGTTACCTATTTGTACACTGCATTACGACAGCAGACACGCAGGAAAGAATTGCGTAAGATTTTTCGCATTATCGGACATTCAACGAACTGTCAGTAATTAATCCATCGGGCGAAATAACGATACACAGCACGAATATCAAATTCATCGAACAACGCTCATGTATAACAATATCCCAGCTTAATTAACGCACATTTACATGGTCACTATTTAGCATTTCAACGATAATGCACTTTTGCATTTAACTGCAACAGCGATACGCCCGGAAAACCAAAATCTAAAATTATAAAAAAGAAATTGTATTCCACGAATTTCAAAATAATGTGTAAAATAATGCTGACGTTATGTAACAATATTGCGCAATTTTTATTTAGAATTATAATACTATAATTCTAAAAATTAAAGTCAAAATTAAAGATAAATTGAAACTAATATTTTTATATGAAATCTCTGCCAAAGTTTCGGTCAAGTTATCAAAGTTAATGTCAATTTTATGATTGTTACAGCCACAAAATTAAAGAAGAAAACGGACTAATCTTGCAGACGATACTTGAAAAGATTCTTCATCGCGGGAATAAGAGGGTCGGAGACACAAAATTTATAGGAACCAACCAAGGCATTTATTATACGATACGATACCGTTAGCATTTATCAGCGAAGTAATGGGGCGGAGACGCGTATTTTTGACATCAACACCCTTCGCTTTGCACGTACTAACCGTAGCAAAAGCGATCTCATCTTACATCATAAGTAAGTACAAGATACAGTAACTTAGAAAATTCGCGACGTTCGTTAGCGCGCGAAATCTGATCGCACTTCTCAATTATATCAGTTATCACTTTTGCCAGCGAATGTTCTAGCTCGAAAGTTTGTTAAATTTTAACATATTTGCTGCTGAATCAATATTCTGTTTATGCAGCTGGTTATCTCAGCTGATACTAGTGATTAAGATAACTATTGATTATCTGTGTCATAACTTTTGTACATAATTAACAAAGCATCAAAGCATCATTAATCTAATAATTATGAGATTATTAGTTATAAACTGGGTGCGTAATTTATAGTCGATGATTATGAGACAAAAGATTATCGCTAATTTTTATTTGATATTTTTCTTTATCGTATTTTCTTAATATCTAAATAAAAAAATAAAAAGAAGATAAATGTATCACAAAGCCGCTCATAAAATAATCTCAATTTTGAATATTTTTTAAATTTATATTTAATCAAAATACAGACCTCACCAAAATCATAAAATTTAATAGTATTAATAGCATTTCTATCATATTTTTATCTATTTTTGCAGTGTTTATAAAATGATCACATTTTAAATAATAAAAATGGTTTAAAGAAAATTTCAGCAGAGTAGCGTTAAACGTGCAAAGTACTTCTGTATTTCTTATTTTTACAATATATATATAATTTTCAAAATTGAAAAGATGTAATTATAAACGCTCTTTACTTGATTTTTCGCATAACCATGTCAGTGACGACATCGAGATATCGCTGTACTATTATTAATAATTCTAAAACACTGAATTACAAGAAATGCAGCAAATTTTCATCCGAAAGGACAAATTATTGTGCGAAATATAATATGAAATACGAAGCATTACAAAGATGGATGTGCATAAATTTAGAGCGTGCTTTCGCATTGTCCGAGGATATTCAAAACCGTACTTTGTGCTGCTTCGTCGAGGAATTATTGTACCAATACGAACTCCCGGAGTTGATGACCAAGAGTCTCGTAAGGTTGATAATACACGGCTTCAAGTTATATTGCCGGTTGTAAAAGCTCAAGTCGACGGTGCCTCATTCGACGACGAGACGTCGATATGGAGATTCGATAATATATCCCTTTCGATATTGCGCGCCCGCGATAAAAGTTATAAAACTCCCGGCACTCCTCTTAAGACCCGGACTTCATAGTCGTGGTGAAATCTGATATTTTATGCGACTCGGGATCGTGCTTAATAGAACGCGATAGTTAGCTACCGCGATGAAAAGAGTCGTAATGCTGTCGATTTATCGAGTGGCCAATTTTCTTTCCCGAGAACTTAACACCACGTTGCGTCCAATACTGGCTAAATGACGAGTGTAACTGATGTGCACGACACATTATGATCGTTCGTGAGTGTGTAGTTGTATATGATTAGATAAATTGTAATAAATAAACATGTGGCTTATAACATATCGTCGTTTTCCTGCAAAACCATAAATTACAATTTGGCAAAACGTAAAACGGTGTAGGATTGCTGATTAATGAGATTGTTATAAGCACCATCGTAAATTGCAATCATCAGAAAATCGCAGAAGGCATTTCATGCATTTCCACATTTTTGTTGTAACACGAATGTGTCGATATATTAATCCTTTCAGCAAAAAGGCTTCAATAAAAGATAAAAGTGCAAAACAATTGCTATGGACCAGCGCGTCTAATTCAGAAAACGATGAGAACGATTATCGATGATTGTAGCGAGCATTTTTAGATAGCACATAGAATCAAATCACATTTATTTTAAATTTATTTTAAAATAATCTTAAATAGTCACAGCTCACAATTCGCAAACGAAATTCAATGATAATATTGTTTTCTCGATAGCACAATCTACTCTACAAAATATCACACACGTGTTTCTATTTATATAGCGACTCGACTCTGTTTTACATTCTACAAAGTTCAATCATAATCAAGAATTATTAGACGACGACGAGGTTGTGGTTTGTCCTTTAAGTAAAATTTGGTGTTCAGGGCACGGTACAATACATTGGTGCGTAAATTAACTCACTTATTAACTGTCCTCGCCACAGGCTCGTGTACGCGCTTATTTATGTGCCGGAATTATTCTGTAATTAGCCTTCAGTTATTCTGTAATTAGCGCTAATAGAGTTTAATGAAAGCTGCAGTTATCCGTTATGAACTCGTTGCTTTTCGATTAGCCTGAACACACCTAGATGCATCCTCCGGAGATGCAAGCTGCAGCGCACGAACGCAATGGCCCTTGTATGCAGAACTCATGAAACTTACGGTGCATCTTTGTATGACTATGTCTATCTCGAATTATTATTCCTAAATTTGGCAATACATCACGCCAGATACATATCTGCTTTTCTTCGCTCAAAATTCGCTTAGAACAATGAGTATTTAAATTAAGATGCATGTAAATTGCCTTTATATTTCCTTTTCCATTTATTTTTGTAATTATTTTTTATTTTTATTTTTATTTTATAAACAAATACACACTCACAAAAATTAAAAAACGAGCTTAGATTTTGTTTATATTAATTATTGTCATATTTATAAATTAAGTTATCTCTTTACTGATATTTTTTATAATAATATAAATTTACGTACACACACACACACGCACACATCTGCTGTAATTAATTAAAAAATACAGCTGTGCATTTTTTAATTTATATGCAAAAATAAAAAATTCTTACAACAATAAATGTAAATAAAATTTATGTATATTTTTAGTCAACATTAATATGCATATATCTGTACATATACGTATATCAGTTTATACAAGAAAAAGAATATATCTGATTTTTTTCAGAGATTGATATTTTAAAGATTCTAATTTTGTTAAATAGCTTTGTCAATTAATACTAAACTTTCTTTACTTGCTTGGAAATAAAAAATATTAAATCTGAAGATAAAAACTTAAAAATTTTATACATCTTGTGTGCACTATCTCTTCAATTGTCAAACTATTTTTAGAATTTAAATCGAAACGTATCGCGTGCTGCCATCTGCTGAAGTTATAATGTATTTTCTATCCATTTTCAATCAGTTGTGATCAGTTGTGATCAGTTGGTACGATCACGACAAGGTTACGGACTTCTATTGCTGCCGCGACAGCAAATTTTCCCAAATTTTCTAGAAGCATAAAATTGCTTTCTTAAAAATTTTTGCAAAGTACGGGATAAGTCAGATTTTACAACTGAAAGGCTTCCAAAGTTTCTAAATGGCTACGCTCGAAGATAAATCTATTTGGGAAGATGGAGAGGTATGTGATTTCGCGTTTCGTAGGTTATGGCATTGAATGACAAGCATATCTAAGGACATATACATATAATACTACACTATGTTTTGCAATTAATTAGCACAAATTTTGTTTTAAAACATGAAAGAGTTACTTTTTACTCTTTCTACTTTATTAGCATTTTTCTAGCTGACCTTTTTATTTTTTTTTTTTACTTAAAAACTAGTAAGTAATCTAAATTATTTAAAAATTTACTTTATCTATTGATAATTAACTATTAATAATTAATTTTTCATTTTGTACCTATATATTACTCTATGAAAAGAAATACATTGGTTAAAATCTTTTATAGTTTCGCTTTTTTTCTATTGTGAAATCTTAAACTATAGAGAACAAGATTAAATAAAACAAATGCATATAAATAATTTAAAATATATGAAAAAATGTCAATATGAATAATTCTTGAGTTTTTAGAAGAGTTTTGTAAAAAAGAGGATGCTTAAATCACTTCTTTTATAGGAGACATTGGGAGAAGATGTCCTGCGAATGTCCACGGATGAAATCGTGTCGCGTACACGGCTTCTGGATAATGAAATCAAGATAATGAAGAGCGAGGTAATGCGAATTTCGCATGAGCTCCAGGCACAAAATGACAAAATTAAAGAAAATACAGAAAAGATCAAGGTGAACAAGACCCTACCATACCTGGTGTCCAATGTTATTGAGCTGTTGGATGTTGATCCGCAAGATATGGGAGAGGAAGACGGAGCAGTGGTCGATTTAGATGCACAGCGGAAGGGCAAGTGTGCCGTTATAAAAACATCAACTCGTCAGACATACTTTCTACCTGTAATTGGCTTAGTTGATGCTGAGTCGCTAAAGCCAGGTGATCTGGTGGGCGTTAACAAGGACAGCTATCTTGTGTTAGAGACTCTTCCGGCCGAATACGACGCCAGAGTAAAGGCTATGGAAGTAGACGAGAGACCCACAGAGCAGTACTCTGACATTGGTGGGCTGGACAAGCAAATTCAAGAGCTGATTGAGGCAGTTGTATTGCCCATGACACATAAGGAGAAGTTTGAAAGTCTAGGTATTCAGCCTCCCAAGGGAGTTTTACTCTATGGACCACCTGGAACTGGAAAGACTCTGCTAGCCAGAGCCTGCGCTGCCCAAACAAAATCCACTTTCCTAAAACTGGCCGGTCCGCAACTGGTACAAATGTTTATTGGCGATGGTGCAAAATTAGTCAGAGACGCGTTCTCGCTAGCTAAGGAAAAGGCTCCAGCGATAATATTCATCGACGAGCTGGACGCTATTGGCACGAAACGTTTCGATTCAGAGAAAGCGGGCGACAGAGAAGTACAACGCACCATGTTGGAGCTGTTGAATCAATTGGACGGTTTTAGCTCGACTGCCGATATCAAAGTGATCGCCGCCACGAACAGAGTGGACATCTTGGATCCGGCTCTGTTGAGATCCGGACGCTTGGACAGGAAGATCGAATTCCCGCATCCCAATGAAGAAGCCAGGGCGCGCATCATGCAAATTCACTCGCGCAAAATGAACATGTCGGCCGATGTGAATTTCGAGGAATTATCCAGATCCACGGACGACTTTAACGGAGCACAGTGCAAAGCTGTTTGCGTAGAAGCGGTGAGATTATATACATTTTAATTTAGAATCAATTAAGTGCAATTGGAACACTAAACAAATCTAATAACAAAATCGCTTTAATTACAATCAGCTAAAAATTTTCTTCTTTTTACATCTACAAATATAATATTAATTTTACTCAACGATAAAATTATTTTCACTTTTAATGATCTTTTAATAGTTGTCAAGTATGTTATCAGAAAATCAGTTATTTATTTATTCTATTTAATTAATTTTTAATTACGTTATTATATCAACTTTTTCTATGTATACAGCTAATGTCATTAATATGTGTTCACAGGGTATGATAGCATTGCGACGTAATGCAACGGAAGTTACTCACGAGGACTTGATGGAAGCTATTAATGAAGTCCAAGCGAAAAAGAAAGCAAATCTGAATTATTATGCTTAATATGCCCTGTTACATCATTTATTTATTAGGTTACTTTTGTATTATACATATAGAAGCAAATCTATCCTCAGATTTTTTGGTAAATGCTGATTCACGTTACTTATATATAATAATATATATAGCTGAATGAGTATTTTTCAAAAAGCCACATGTATAAAGAGGAATTAAAAAAAATTATACCACAAAAGTCTTGTCTTTTGTACCTGTCAAAATACAAGTACTGTTCAAATATTATTTCACGACGAATCAAGAAATTTAAATTTTGTAATAAAGCTATAACAAGATTTTGATGATTAATTTTTTGATACTTAGATTTATACCGTTGTATATTTATTCTATATGCAATATAGTAATGGACGAAGTTAAATGAAATTATTATCAAAATATAATATACAGAAAGAATATATTTGCAGATAAGACATAACTTTGCTAACGTATAATGGGCATATCAATATTCGAATAGATTGAAACCTAATCATTTATTCATTGATTAATAATTATGTGAAACTCTTAATATTTTTAATGAATAGAAGCATAATATATAAAAATTAATTTTTGAAGAGTAATTTTTATGTTATTTCCAGCATTTACAGAGTTGAAATTAAGAACATTTATCAGATACAAAATATTTTGTATTACTCAAAATGATTATACGTAATAGATAATAATCATAGTCATTAATAGCTATGACACTCATCGCCTCCTGTGACTTCTCTTTCTGATTCTGTAAAAATAGATATTATCAAATGTAAGTATCAACATATGCATTATCTAAAAATATTGGTTTAAAAATGTTACTATGTAATAACTATATAATGTACTTACTTTTTTGGTCCTTTCACGAAACACCAGTCAACAGAAATGGCCTGACCCAAGATCTCTGTACCATTTAGAGCTTCCTTCGCAGCCTGTGCTTCTTTAAATGTCTCGTATTCAACTAATGCGTAGCCTTTCAAAAATCCAGTCCTTCTGTCCAAATTTAAATGCAAGTTTTTAATTTGTCCATATTCAGAAAATTTGTCCTGAATATCGTCCTCTTGTGCTTCTTCATGCACTGAATTTATGAATAAGATCCAGCCCTCCACAGCTAAAAACAGAAAGAATATAAAATAATAGTCTTATAACTACAAAATAACAAAAAAGAAAATTAATTAATCTATAGAAAAATTAACATGAACCAAATATGCTTACATCTCTGAGGACCAGGCTCATTATCATCTTCTTCAACTATATTCATAGATTCATAATGACCAACATCATCTCTTGTTGATACTAATTCTGCACCATGACCTCTACCTTTCCTTCTCTTTGCTTTTTCCTTGAGACGAGCAATACCCTCTGGAAGTACATGAGAAGCCTTTCAAATCATCCATACTTATTACATAAAATTCTAATTGCAAATACATTAATTGAACGTAATGTTCTGAACACAATCCCTTCCTACAAGTTTCTAGTCTAATTGCTTTAGCTTAAGAAAGTGATGTTTTATCATTATCAATATTATTCAATTACTACAGATTTGTAAAAAAGACATAAAAATGCATAAATATATAGTAATAAGAAATTAGTGAAGCTTGACATGAGACATTGAGGTTATACATCGAAATAGACGCTTGCAGAATATTGTGAAGAAATGAAACTCACGATCTCCTTCATCATCGACTTCGAACTCCTCGGCGTTATCAATGTCCAAAACATCCGCCATGGCTAGAGTTGTGACTGCTAAGTAATAAATACGTAAATCCTTTACAATATTATTACCGCACCGATATCATAAACGCAAGATGCAAACTTCCCTCTCCTCACCTCTCCTGAAGGAAACTGTTTTCTGCGCTATCTGAAGTTAGGAGTTGGGAACTAAAAACGCGTATCACGTGATGGAAACTGACACAAGACACAAGTGTCATTCCATTTTGTTACTCCATTGAATGCAAGAAGGATAGAATGACATTCGTGTTGACTGTGTCACTAAAGGAAAGCAGCCATCACAGTTTGCTATCACAGAGTAGGTACACGAATTAAATTAAAATTTATTTTATTTATTTATTTTTTACATGGACGGTACTTAATTTTATTTTATAAATCATACATAGTAGAAAAAGAAGTGCATACTTTTATTTTACATAAAAGCAATGTACAAATACAAAAAAAAAAAAATAATTTAAATTTAAAGATATATTTTTAACTAGCCGTTGAATAACTATAGTAACGAAAATGTAAAAACAAGTATTTAAAATTAAAAAAAGTATTAAAAATATAAAATTAAACTATTCAATTAATCAAGAGTAGAAAATACGAAAATATTGTAATAAACGTGTTCATCATTGATATTACCAACTAAAAAATGTTTTTATCGCTGTTATTTAATGTCAATATTAGGATATATTTGATAACAAAACTTCCATATTTGTAAAACACATTACATAAAATATGTAATGCCTCTTTATATTCATATATAAAGAGAAATGTTGTAAATAGCAGTTAATATCCCGTTATGTCTTTAAAAAATATATAGTTATAATATGTCGTAACAAAAAACAAAATAAAATATAAAAAAAATTTAATCTTAACTTTGTATAGCTACTGCGTCATAGCATATAATATATGGGAAGACCAAATTTTACTTATGATACGAATCGACGAACGGAATAATATCCTTTTATGACTTTTAGTTCTTGATTCTTTTCTCGAAATTTGCGCCAAGATTCACAAAAACTGCAGATAGACAGAAAATAAAATAGATAATTTTGTATTATTATCTGTAATTATTATCTTGTAAAATACTATGGCATTTACTCATATATTTTAACATTTTCACAAGCGCTTCTTGTTTGATAAAATATAATTATTAGAACAGAACATCTTAATCAGCCTTTAGTTTAGTCGTCTGTAAATTACGTGATCGATTATTTAAACGTACCTTGTATAAAAGTTTATCATCTTACGCACCCACTCAGGAATGCCAAGAAAAAGTACGCTCATAACAAGAACAACGAGAACAAGAAGTGGTATAAATTTTGCTATTTTTGCGATATCAAGTTCCGTGATTATGTAACCAGCAAAAGTCGCCAGACTCAAATCAATTAGTATCAAACCAAACATTTTAAGAACAGAACTAAAGACTCCTTGAAGCATGTTTGCTAACGCATCCGTGTTTCTGAGCCACTGGAAAAAAAAAGAAATTAATATTGTACATAACGATTGATAAAACCTTTAAGGCCTATTTCTTTTAGCAAATTATTGCAATTAACGGCGCAGTTAAATTCTAAAGCGCCATTGAAATCAGCATATATTTATGTGTGTGCTTTGAATAGCAAAAATTATTTTTTTTAAATTTATAATATCGGCCTATTTTTTCTGTGTGACTATACACCCTTTAAGTTGCAAAATAATACTTAATTCCAGAATGGAAGTTCTTAATTCTTTTCTCTCCGTTCCTTATTTTCTAATTATCAAGGCTTTCATGCATTTCACAAAGTACCTCTATCAGCGGTTTATTTCTTAGTTCAATAGGGAAGGCATAATAACATAATGTACAATAGTAGATGTTGTTGAGATTTGCCATCGCCTCTAAACAATGAATGTGTATAAATTCCATAGGACCTATACATCGACATGGACGAATAAGTTCCCCGTGATTCGCACCTATAAATAAATTTGCAATATTTCATAATTTACATATAGCAATTATATTCGCAACATTTGAGAAATTTTGGCTCTTTTAAGAAACAACAGCTGTGAAAAGTTTTTTGATATCTTACAAATATTTCTACAAGTGTTTCCCATTGTTTCAATATGTAAAAATGTTACTTTTGAAGCATCATTTTTCTATATATGCAAATTTTACAATATAAGATACATCATTTAAAGAGAGTTTCACAATACGTTCTTACAAAAAAGAAAATGCATACCTAAGTTACAACGCCGACATACAGGATAATCGATAAGAAAAGAATTGTCCAAATGTCTTGGTATCATATCAGGAACTGGATAGTGTATCATTACAGACTGCAAATCTTCTGATAACATCGTATCCATTTTATTTTTTTAAGCAATAAAATTCGTTACCGTTCACCGCTGACAATAGCGTGCTCTGCGATTTTTCCAAAATTTCGCTTTATGCGACTTCACTGTACGATTCATCTATTGGTACTGCTTTCTTTGACATTCAAGGAAGATATTTTGATGTAAACAAGGACGACTTAAGTAACAACAGCTACCAAGAAAGACATAAGACACTCTCTCTCTCTCTCTCTCTCTCTCTCTCTCCGCAAAGCTTCAATTTAATTTATATTATTACGTATGTTGAAAATATATGCAAAATTCACTAATTAAGGCCAATCATGTCCTATATTATTCAATTCATTATTTTATGCGCCTTAAAGACGCAGGAAAAATATATTGTTATATAATAAATAAAAAGTTTTAATTATTACATAAATTTAAATTTATATGAATTATTAAAATATTAGATTATATAAATAATTATATAGCAAAAATACAATTTATACTTTCTTTAAATTTTACAATTCATAATCATCTTAAGATATTGTAAATACGTATACGCACCAATTTTTATCTATTTTTATATTCTGCTTTTATTCAAACTACAGTAAAACTCGACTCGACTTCAAATTTGACTTTATTATCGATTTTATCACAATTTCTATATTTCCGATACTTTTCATACTTCAGTTGTCACATGCCTTTCGCCTTTCGAAACACAATAAAAAAAATCAAAATTTCTGTCTGCAAATGCCACAGTCAAATTGAAATTTCATGTTCAACAAATAAAAAAATATATGTGCTCAATTTAACAATGAATTCTTCATTGTATAGAAATTTATTTGCAATAATATGAAGAAATTGACAAGGTAATGTTCTTTGTAAGATAAAAATGACCTCATCTATTCACCGTTTCTCATAGAAAAATATGATTACTCATGTTATTATTAATATTATTCTACAGAGAAATCAGTCATGATGAACTCCATTGAATTAATTATTTTTTACTAATTATTTTTTATAAAATTGGAAACAAATATTGAGTCTCATGAAATAAATTTCTGTCAATTTTTCTTTATTCACAGCTATTTTAAACGTCTTTCTTGCAGCCGAAAGCCTAATCTGCGCCGGAAATGGCGACAGTTCCAATAATAAAGTGTACCTCGAACGAACGACTATCCGGCACAAGATTGATGAACGAAAAGGAAGATGAAAAACCGGAAAAAAAATTGACAGTGCTGGAGTCGCATGGTTATGCTCTCGGGAAGACTATAGGAGCTGGATCATATGCCACAGTTAAAGTAAAATCCAACTCTATCTGTTCTCCTTAGAAATTAATTTTTCTTTACTTCATCAGTTTCTCTTTTAAAATTAAATTAATTTTTCTTTAATCCTTCGTCGCTCAGATCGCGAAATCTGATCGCCACGAGTGCCAAGTGGCGGTGAAGATAGTTTCGAAATTCCAAGCGCCTGGAGAGTATCTCACGAAATTCCTGCCTCGTGAAATCGAAGTGGTCAAAGGATTAAAGCATCCACATCTGATTCGCTTCCTGCAGGCCATAGAAACCACGCATCGGTTAGTTTGTTGGCTCCAGCCACGTCGATTCATTTTCAGATGATATCTGCAGGATGATTCGCATGGGAATAAATCTATTTGAGAACAATATTGATAGGAATTTATTGCGAACAGAACTCTTGAATTCTGGTCAACTTCAAATCACCTGCTTTTCGTAGAGTGTACATTATTATGGAATACGCGCAGAACGGTAGTTTGCTCGACGTCATACGCCACGACACTTACATCGACGAGCAGCGTAGTCGCAAGTGGTTCCGGCAACTTCTGGAAGCCATTGATTATTGTCACGATCATGGTATAGTGCATAGGTAAAAACTAATAAAATTAATTTAAATTTAGAAAAGAAGATTCTGAAGAGAGCGTGCACAGAAAAGTTACACGCACAAGTTTGATTATTTGAATTTAAGTGCCAGAAACACCTGGTACACCGCTATATAATTTTTTTCATCCTAAACTCTCTTGCAGGGACATCAAGTGTGAGAATCTGCTCATGGATTATCACTTCAATGTCAAATTGTCGGACTTCGGGTTCGCGCGGGGACAAATGAAGCCGAAGAACGGCGAGTGGCCTCTCAGTACGACCTACTGCGGAAGTTACGCTTACGCGTCGCCCGAAATTCTGCGGGGCATCCCGTATCAGCCGCAGCTCTCGGATGTATGGTCCATGGGTGTGGTGCTCTACGCTATGGTTTACGGTCGGCTGCCGTTTGACGATACAAATCACGTGCAACTACTAAAGGTACCCAGGTATATGCCGAGACCAGTATACCCAACGTATACTCGAGTCGATCATTATTTTTCGTACAATATCCTCCTTTCATTTACAATTTTTATTAATTTTTTTAGTTCAATTATAAATTGAATTTTAATACTAGAAAATAAAATAAAAATACAAATCTGCTCAATACAAAAATATCAACTAAAGAATTACCATTTTACATATTTCTTCTAAATCACACATTGTTTCACAATACTTTCTCTCCTTACAATCTATTCCTTTCCCTCCTTGCTCAGCAAGTGCAAAACAAGGTGGTATTCCATAAACATCCCAGAGTATCCCGGTCGTGTCGCTCTCTTATCACCCGTATATTAGTACCGCAATCGGCGCGATTGCATATCAGTAATATAAAAAACGATACCTGGCTCGAGACATCAGTCGTCGCTCAAACGTCGATCAGTGGCAGATTCGTCGTAAGAGTTAATCGATACAGATAAGATTATATATCCTCTCACAAATTGTCTTTGGTCATATCTTCTATGTTCATAGGGAATATTTGCAATGCCAGCAACTAAGGAATCCAAAGTGTTTGATGAAGATATGGTAACAATTCCTTCCACAATCTTTCCAAGAAATAAAAAATCTAGAGCTGTCACTATCGATAAGACCAATAAAACGCAATAAGATCAACTTAAAATACGAAGCCTATATAGTACTGTAAAAAAAGACTAAAAATAAAACAAGACTATTAAAACAAACCAAAAAAAAAAAATGAAATACATGTGTAATAAATTCATAAATAATTTTTACTAATACATAGAAAAAGCTAAACTAGTTTACAATATGGCACTTTTCATTCTTGATTCTTTTTTTGTTCATAAATAATAATATAGTTATCAAGACAAAGCAATATGCCACTTGTGATGCTTATTATTAATTACACTAATAATGAGCAGGTACCTTTGCTACCTAAATGCGATACGTGGTAAAACTTTATGACAAAGTAGATCTGTATTTAGCAAACATAAGCAGTATTATGGTGCCAATTATAAATATACCGGGCGCGGTCGCTTTATGTATATCTTTTGTATCATCTATAATAAAAATATCTGCGATTAAAACTTATTCTGTAATAAACTTCATCACTGATATAAAATAGTCACCTGTTGTTTTTATAAGCGGCTCCCAACCCAAGCTTCTGTCAATACCCATTTTCCATTGGGAGTATAAAATATCACGTTCTAAAGCAAATATGTAAAATTAATCTTCATTTAATGCTAACATTTTAATAGTTGTGACAAATAATATGACAATCACCATTCTCAGTTATTGATGGCAAGTAAACATCGCTGGGAACGGCAGTATCACTTTTCACGCCCCATTTACGTATTCCTTCTGCGCTCCCCGCAGCAATCGCAACTCCAAGTGCAGTAGTTTCGCACATCAGTGGTCTAACTTTCTTATAAAGATGCGTGCACTTATATTAGCTTCTATCTCGCCGATATATCTAAATCATTTGATATTCTACTTACCCACTGGAATTCCACAGATGTCAGCTTGCATTTGCATCAGCAAACCATTGGTAGTCATCGCGCCATCAACCAATAGTTTTGACAATACCAAACCAGTATCTTCCTTCATAGCTTCTAAAATATCTCTTATTTGGAAACATACTGATTGCAAAGCTGCTTTGACAATATGTGCGCTATTAGTATCTTCGCTAATGCCACAAATGACACTGAAACAATTAATTTGCAAAGGTTTAGATATCGCTGCAAAGTGATTGTAAGTGTTTTCAGTAGTAATCCACAAAAGTAGCAAACCTTCGAGCGTCTTTTCTCCAATATGGAGCGTAAAGTCCAGCAAACGCCGGTACAAAAATAACGCGATTATCCGCGGGCAGTTGTTCGATAATAGCTTCACAATCTTTCAAATCATTTAGTATACCAAGATTATCCTTCAACCACTGTACAACGGCACCCGCAATAGCTATAGATCCTTCAAGAGCGTACACCGGAGAAGCATCTGCTCCCAACTGATAAGCTACGGTCGTTAATAAACCATGAGATGAATCCACAATCTGCAAGAATCAATAGAACTGTATTCATCTAAACTTAAACCTGCTTTGCTCTATAAAGTGTTCTAGTAATAAATCTTACAGCTGTGCCAGTGTTATAAAGAAGAAAACAACCAGTTCCATAAGTACTCTTTGCCTGTCCTTGATGCAAACACATCTGACCTACTAAAGCTGACTGCTGATCACCTAAAACCTAAAACAAGCAATTTTTATATAATTAAATCTATCTTTAAAATCTTTGCATTAGTTTTAAAATAAAATATACATCACATACCCCTGATATAGGAACTCCTTGTAGCAGATCATCTTGTATATAACCATAAATCTCGGAAGAGCTTCGTATCTGAGGTAAAATTTTAGAAGGTATATTGAAAAATGATAATAAAGTAGGATCCCATTTCAAAGTCACAATATTCATTAACATTGTTCTCGAAGCGTTTGTAACATCTGTACTATGAACACCACCATTGGCACCGCCAGTCAGATTCTAATTACAAAATCAATACATTATTCGAATCCAAGTATTGGTAACTTTTTGTACAGTGAATTCCTTTATGAACAAACCCAAATTAGCCAGGAATCAATAGTGCCAAACATGAGACGATTTGCAGTTAACGCTTCCTGAACCTTAGGTACATTTTCTAATAACCATTTTAACTTTAATGCGCTAAAGTATGGGCTAATTGGCAAACCGCAAAGAGGCTTCAAGTAATTCTTATTCTTATTGCGTATACCTTTCAATATGTCATCCACAATTGATGTGGTTCTCATATCCATCCAAACTGTAACATGTTGAAATTAATAAATAATATAATTACTGTGACAAGCAGGGTCTATATATTTATAATAATGCAGCTTTACCTATGGCATTATAAAGTGGTTCTCCTGTGACACAATCCCATACAACTGTAGTTTCTCTCTGATTTGTTATACCAATCGCAACTATATCAGCTGGATCTATCGTCAGTTGTCTTAAATTAAATACAGTCTGCTTAAGACATTCTCTGACTGCTCTTAATATTTCTAAAGCATCTTGTTCAACCCATCCCTCTTTTGGACATGTTTGTGATATTGAAACTTGATGGTATGTTAAGACTTCTGCTGTATTTGCTGCAAAAACCTATATTATTGAAACAGAAGAAAAGTCATTAATATAAAACTAAATAAAATGTGCATGACAATTATTATTGTATGTTAGATATGATTGATTGTATTATCTTTTAAGTAAGACAAGCAAAATAATTGTTTGAAAATTGACAGATAAATAAATTCCCATAAATAATATAAATGTAATATGCATATATAAATGTACATTTATATTTTGCAATCATCACATTACAATCAATACTGAAAGAATAATATGAAAATAAGCATAAGCCTTTTCTTATAACCTCATGTAGTTATATTATTACAAACTGGATAAGACAGTTGTGCTCTATTTTCAATACATACTTTGAGAAATTAATGTTCAATCTATTTTTAAGTTATTATAAAAATAACTTGTAAATCGATTTATCTAAATATAAGATGGTATGCATTATACATTGTAGCTAATACTTTCAAATTTTCAAGTGATACTGCAATTTCTTACGTGGCATTATTGCAATTATTGACAAACTATTAAAAAAAAATTCATACCAGGAATCTAGCGCTGCTCGTGCCTTCGTCAATCGCGCCGACGAGAGGCCCATATCTGTTCATCGACTCATTTTTGTTCATTTGAGTGAGTGTGATCAATTCGGTAAGACCGTGACTCGTAATTATCACGCGATTTCACACAATTTCACTACTTGTATATCGATTTCAATTGAATAATACACCTTCTTTGTTATGCTAATAAGCTGAATTAATTGTTAATATTTACATCAATATTTCATTCACTACAGCCGAAAAACAAAACGGTTGCGGCACCGTTGAGTGAACTATCCGTCTAGCAAACAGCTGATTCTTCGGAACGACCTTCCGGATAATTTTCGAACATATTTAAGCACAAACGATTTATAATACTGCAACGGACAAGAATGAATATAAACATTTTAAAAACTCTTAAAAATTATTAATGCAATATACATATAAAAAAATTCTCGCATTACATAGTTCTAATGACGGAAAGCTTATTCAATGCTGGTTAAGTTATCGTCACACGGCATCTGCTGTGCATCTCTTATCGAAATATATGCTTTTGATTTTTTACATCTATCACATGGAAAGAAATGATCTTTTTTTACTTTTTCATTTGTTCTGTCTACAATAATTTATTACATACATTATCGTCCATTATCGCCCATTATATCGAGCGGGAACATAACTGCATTCTTTTCGCATTTCTGACAGAGGGCGCGCTATACCATCGCTGCCTTTGACGCGTCGTAATATTCCGTATTGTTCGCTTCTCCGTGGACGGAGAGTGAAAACGTTCGGCGCCAAATACACTCCAAGTTTCACAGGTCGCCATTTTCAGAATTCCACCAAGCGCGCCACGGCATCATCCAGTTGATATCGTATAAATGTGAACGCCATCGCTAGAACCGCTCGCCTGCTCCTCGTTCGCTGCCAATCGTCCGCATCGGGGAACGAAAATTTCAAGTCAGTGCTGGCAACTTTTTACAATTTATCATTGTTATATCCGCCTCTTTCTGTGTGCTGTGTGTCTCGCTCCGGTCGAACACGGCGCACCTCACATGGTCATATGATGCTTGTTGGAATTATTATTGCATGATTCCATGCTTCAGGTAGTGTTGCATTTGGCGATATTACATGGTTATGCAATATCAAACTCTCAAACTGTTCTAAATTTTGTCAGTGAAAGTCGCGTTTGATGTAAACATGGCAGATAAAACGGCGGGTGGCCATGTTCAACACTGACACACGCTGCCGATTGTAGGCTTCAGGTTTCTCGTAGTTACTCAAGCATGCCAACAAGTTTTTCTCACGTCTCCTAGACTATATCTAGCGCTAAATACGATCGTTCGATTTATTTGCATCGATACGAAAATATAAACGTGGGATGGGATGGGAATGGCCACATTTAGCGCCAAAGCCGCGATATAGGTGAACTGATTTCGTATAGCACTAACGAAACGAGCGTTGAGACGCTCGGCATTTTAACATTGTTCAATCTAATATTTGCAGTAGTAAATATCAATTATAATTTATCAAACTTTTTTTATGTTAAATTACAATAATGAATCAAAATATTTTGTATTGCGTAAAGATATATATTTGTATATAGATAATTGCGACTATATAATATATATAATATGAGATTTAGTAATAATTCATATTTTAAGCCTAAAAAATTAGTTTGTTTTTAAATTGAGTTTCATTAAATCATTGAGAATAAGATATTTAAATATAAAATTTTAAAATTTAATTCAAACTTAAATCTATATCACTGTTCATCAACTTATTATAATTACAGAGAAAAAAAATGACTGCTGATTCCGATAAAGATTCTACACACTGCTTAGTGTGCGACAGTAAAGTTGGAGTATCCACTAGAAATAGTGTACGCATCTTTAATGATTCTGCTGTTACAAGTGCTTCTGAAAAGCCTCTTGCGGAGATTATAGCAGATGTCTTAGAAATAGAAGTTAATGAGAAGTCTGTACATTCCCTTGTCATTTGTAAAAAATGCTTCAAGTTATTTAATGAGGTAAGATATTGCGTAAGCAACATTTTTTTATAACAGAATTTTTTTATTAAAAAGCTACATTGCATTATTTTAATGATTTCAGATTGATGAACTTGAAAGTAGATTAATGGAAGTCAAAATAGAATTATTTAATAATTATAAAAAAGCAGCAAAGAAATCATCTAATACATTTCACAATGACGAAGAATATAACGACCATGATTATACAGACAATACAGAAAGTCAAAGCACTGTAGCAGAGGTAAGACACCATAAAAATTTTGATAAAAATTAATTATATATATAATTTACAATGTTTAATTGTATTATTACTCGTAGGATGTGCAAGACGATAAGGAATATATGCCAGAGGAGGATACGCAAGAGCAAGAAGAAGAGGAGGAGGAGGAAGAGGAAGAAGAAAAAGACGACTCACATGTAGAACCGGAAAACATTGTACTTAAAGTTGAAGAAATGAAAACATCGAATACTTCTAATGGCAAAGCCAAATCGAAGAAGAGCAAAGTTAATATGAAAATAGAACCTGTTCAAGAACAAGTATGTATGAAAAATTATATGCATGGAATATATTCATATTTTGGACAGCAAGTTAGAGAAATTGTAATATATAAATATTGTATTTTTTCAGATATTTCTTAGAGAGGAATCTTCGTATACTTGTTTACTATGTACAGACGAAGACAAATTTGCAGGCGATGCTAAAGCTATTATGGCACATATGAAAGAAGTGCACGAGACTCGCTTGTACATTTGTGACATATGCGGACAGGATTTCAGAAAAAGAACCGAGCTTTCTATGCATCTCGACGATCATGTTGCAAAAGAGGAAGGGGATTTCCAGTGTGAGATATGTAATAGAATATTTAGCAACTTACGATTGTTCCGCATTCATAAAAGGATACATTATCCACAAGTGAAGTCATGGTCCTGTAGCACATGTGGAAAGAAATACAGGTACAGCATCATCATGTGTGAAAATAAAGTATATAATTATAAGATATAAAAGAAATAAATTATTTCTGTTTCAGTTCCAAAAACTTGTTAGATGAACATATGAATACACACACGGGCGTTCGTCCATACGTGTGCGAAGTCTGCAACAAAGATTTCGCATCCAAGTATACTTATAAGGCGCACGTAAAGACGCACGAACTAAGACCTCGACCGTTCGAGTGCGGCTACTGCAATAAAACGTTCTTGAGCCAGCAAAATCTGAATCAACATGAACGAACGCATAACTGCATAAAGGAATATGTATGCCATCAATGCGGTAAGATTTATATATATTTTATATGTTAAACATTTTTAATATTTTCAATAAATTGTATATATATGTATTTTTTTTATTACACACATACAATTTAACAATTATCTTTTATTTTCTCATTCATTCACTAACATTCATCTTTCTTTTCAACTAAAGGTAAAGCTTTTGGTTCTCCACATAATCTGGAGGTGCACAACATAGTACATACTGGTTATAAACCCTTCATATGCCGATTGTGTGGTAAAGCATTCGCTCGTAAAGCGGAAATACGTGATCACGAGCGAACTCACACAGGTGAGAAACCGTATCAGTGCGAGTTTTGTGGAGCAACATTTAGGTGAGTGTTTGCGCGGCAGAAATTGAAGGATTACAATTAATCCTCTGCGCATCCGTTAATTACTTGTGGACGATGATAAAAAATTTTAATGTTGTTCTCAGTCAAAGGTCAAACCTACAATCTCACAAGCGAGCAACACACTATAACGACAAGCGTTACAAGTGCGACGATTGTGGAAAAGGTTTTAAAAGGAGGAGACTGCTGGATTATCATATAAAAGCGGCGCACACCGGCGAAAGACCGTTTAAATGCGACATATGTACAGCCACCTTTGTCTATCCTGAGCACTTTAAGAAGCATAGGCGTATACATACCGGAGAAAAGCCGTATCTTTGTGAGGTACGTCCTTTAAGATTGCTATTAAAACGATGCACTTGCGTCTCATTTCGCTTCTTTTTACATTAATTTATTAATTTAGTAATTAACCTTAATTTTTCTGAATTCAATATACTTTTTCAGGTTTGCGGTAAAGCATTTAATAGTAGAGATAACAGAAATGCGCATAGATTTATACATAGCGATAAAAAGCCGTATGAGTGTTTGGTGTGCGGCATGGGCTTTATGAGAAAACCATTACTCTACGCACATATGCAAACTCAGGTAATACACTAACAAGCATTAATTCTTTAATCATAAATCGTATCCCTTAAATGTTTATTTTCACTTTTATTAATCATCATTCCGTTATACGATATAATATTACAATATACGGACGAGTTATCGGGAGTATTATTTAATTTATGAATTATTAATTAGGGTCACTTAAATGATACCATAGTAGTGAATCAGCCGCGATTGACAACGGAAGACGATCAAGTAATAACAATTCCTGAAAATGAGGATGAATTATTGATGGAAGAAACAACAATGGAAGACAGCGAACAGGTAAATTTTTTCTGTACACATAACATAGTCATGTCAATTTTTTGTGCAATGTTATGCATTCATAAAAAAACTGAAGTATACTTATAAATATACTTATACTATAAATTTAATATAATTAAATCGATTAATTTAATAATTTAAATGATTCAAAACGCATTTATATTTATTTTATCGTGCTGAATTTTACACAGAATATTAATACTAATACTAATTCTAATCATTATTCATTTAGCTGGACGAAACTGGGTTGTACGTAACCGAATTGAAGGAGCACGTGATTATACAGCAAGAAGATGACCAGATATACAACGAAGAGGATGTTGTATTAAGCATACCCGCGGAAGAAAATGTAAGCAACGGAGTAGATCATCTTGTCGATGGAGAAGTAAAATAGCAATATTTCTTAAAAACTTGTTAAGATGTTCATTTCTCTACACTATATCTTTTCTCACAGATGGATTTCCAAGAGAATGAAGCAGAATGCAAAACTGATACAGCGGATCAAGTGGAAACGGTGTATACTTATAACGAAAATGAGGAAGGCGAGACGATTGTTGTACCGACTACAGTGGAAGACAAGAACGTGCGACTGGTGCAAATCAGATTTCCTTCGACTGAAGGAGAAGGTAGAAGCTGGTTGAGCTTAGTACAAAATACTTGAATTTTATAATACTCTTAATAAATTGCATAAATTGTGCAGGAACAATGCACACCTACTACTAGTGCGAGATATCATTTATAATCCAATACTTCATATAAAAATAGCAACTTAAGTGATAATTAGTTATGTTCATTATTTTATAATAAATTTATAGATATTATTAATTAGAAAACAAATATTAATATGTAAAAATTTATGAAAAAACATAGGTTGCGAGAATTGAATCAAATGATTTAATTTGAAATGATTAAATTTGATTTGTGAAGTTGAATGGTAAGAAACTTAAACACAGTTTAATTATTTATGATATGATTCAATTCTATATAGCTTTATAAGATAAATTTTAATTTAAAATCAATTAGTAATTTTTCATAATCACTGACGTGTATTTATGTTTTTTACCACAATTTCGTATATACATATTTATATAATACATATTTAACATAAAACAATAATTAAGAATTAATACGTGAATACAATAAATACATATAAATTTCTGAAACAACTTTTTAATGGCCAATTATGTTCATTAGTAAAAAATAACATCCATTCTATTCTTATTTATTTTTCTAGTGTGCATTACAATATGCATCTAGAACTTCTACTTAAGTATCAATTTTTCCAACAACTTCAAACCATTGACGTAAAGCATCGCTCAGAACACCTGGTAACGTGTTTATATCCCTAAGAATTATGTAGAATGGAAATGGAAAAGAATCCATATATGATCGAAGTTCTAAGAACTTTCCCTCTTCATTAAATACAGGCGTACGAACATCCAGTATGGAATACTGAAAAAAAAATGGATCTTTAATAACTTCTTTTTAATCTAATAAATTAACTGAATTTTTAATACCGTAACGAATTATTAAAATAATGAATCGATCGAAAATTACCTGACTTTTTGGATTATCCATTATTACAAAGACTAAAAAGATATCCACTAGTCTAGCTCTTCTCACGGCACGAATCACTTTTGTCATTCCTTCTGCAAATATATTTCTGCCATCCGACAGCACTACCAGTAACTTAGCATTATCGGATGTAGTATGTTGACCTTCAAACATATCCACTGTAAAATTGACTAATTGATCGACCCGCGTCTTCCTTTGATCAAATCTCATTTCTTGTATTAGCCTGTAAAAAAGGAAAACAATTATAATATATTCCAATTTTTATAATACATATTAAGTAAAATTAAATCACATCATGCACAATTGAGATTCTGCTTAAATTTAATATCGTTTATCAAATTATTCTCGAATCGCATACATACATTCAGCTTATATTCAATTAAACTATTTACAAACTCTTGTTTAACTTCTAAATGAAATATTTACAGATATTTATTAAATAAAAATAAGGCATACCTAGATCCAGATTGTTCGGTAAAAGCCTCCCCAAAAGGATGCAGCATCTTTACATCTTCTCCGAAGTTTACGACACTAAATTGCCCCACTTCCAGATACGTCATAGCTTTGCTAATTAACGATAAAGATTCGAAGGTTAATTCCGCGGACTGAGTATCCGCCATGCTGAGGGAGTCGTCCAGCGCGAGGACAATCTGATAGTCGCGTTTGGAGGGCTTTGTGCGCCTAAGCCAGATCTTATCCTTGCGAAATTGGCTGGCTATGTAGGGAATGATCTTCCGCATGTTGATGCGTTTACCCGTCTTGTAATCGCCTTTCAGCCTCGATGCCTGCGTGGGCTCCAAAATCAGTCTTAATTTCTCCGACAAGTCTCTAGCCGCAGCGTCTGTGACCGAGCACAGACAATTCCACGCAGCAGCGGCTTCCTCCGTGGACGGCGTCTGCGTCCATTCTCGTAGCATCTTTTCCACCTCGAATCGATTCCTTTCCACATAATTCGAATCAGGATCGTTCTCTTCCAAGTTCCTCTCCATCGTGTGAAATGTAGACTCATTTCCTCTCTGCACGTGCATAGTTTCCACTGTTTCTCCTTCGAGCTCCACTGTCTCTATCTGACTGTCCTCCGCGTTGTTCCTTTTCCCATCGGAATCCTTCTTGCGTTTGTTGTCCACAGCCTCCGAAATCTTCTCGGGCTTCTGCTCGATTACTTTATCATCCATCTTATCGCTCTTCTCGTCTTCGTGCATCTCCACGTCCATGGTGTCATCCTTTTTCTCCGCCTGACTTTCTTCTTCTTTTTCCGTGGAAGCTTGTTGCTTGGCCTGATCCTCCGTCGCGGCGTCCAGCGTGTAATCATCGAATCTTTCGGAATCCTTGATGTGCTGAGCCATCTCGGCCTCGTTGCCATCAGCGTTACCCGAATCATCTTCCTTTTCATTCTTCGATACTTCGTCCTGCGTGTAGATGGTCTTCAGTTTCTTCAGCGAGGGCTCAAATCTGTCCAGCAAACTGCGATCCTCGCTGCTCTCGCCCGGATTCTTCCTCTTTTCGTTCGGTTTCGACATCGCGTTTCTCTTCGGAGCTGACACGGTCTCCTGCTTGGACGAACCGCTATGTCCGCTTTCTTGCTGCACCGACTGCGATTGGCCGCTGCCTTTGTCGCTGCTGTCCTCTTGAGTGTTCTCGGCCGATGCTTCCTGTTGATTCTTCGCGTCCGGCTGTTGCGCCACCGTGTCCCGCGAACCTTCTGCAGCTTCCTCAACTTGTTGCGCAGCATCCATTTGCTCGCTCGCATCATTTGCACTCGGCGCCGCCTTTTCCTGCAGCTTCTCCTCTTCATCCTGATTCTGTTCCTCGTCTTTGTTCTCGGCTTCCGCGCCCTCCCCACTTTTCTCTTCCTTTTCGTTATCGCCTTCCGGTTCTTCCCGTGTTTCTTGTCCGTCCGTGTTCATATTTCCATCCTCATCTTCGCTAGAATCTTCCTCATCGTTTTCTTTATTCCCGTCAGCTTCCTTTTCAACTTCCGTATCTTGCTGCTTCTCCGGCGGCGGGTGTGAATCTTTCATCTCATCGATGTCGAATGGATTCTCCTCTTCGCCGCCGTTGTTTTCCTTGCCTTCCTCATCGTCCAAATTTATGTCTTCCGGCAACTCGAGCGGTTCGGGTTCCGGTGGGGGCTGGAACTTGCCGTGATAAGGATTAATTTGGTCTTCATCCACTTCGGGTTCCTCTAGTTCGTTTATTTCTTTTTTATTTTCCTCTTGACTTTCCTCGCGATCCGTGTCGTTATCGTCGTGCTGCTTCTTCTTGTCTTCGTCATTCTTCGCGCCCATTTCCTTCTCACCGATTTGCTCGCCCGTGCCCTCTTTTTCGTCCTCATCATTTTCCGGCTGTTGGTCATCCTCTTCCGATTCCTCCTCATCGTCATTCCATATTTCCTTGTCTAACTGCTCCGCGCCTTCGCCCGTCTCTCCCATTTCCTTGTCCAGATCGTTCTCTTCGTCATTGTCGCTCTGTTCTTCATCTTCGTCGCCCTTCTCCATATCTTGAAGCTTGCTGTCGAAATCCTCGGACATATCGATGCCCTTCTCCTCTTCCTTGCAAGTTTTATCATCTTGTTTTTCCTGCTCCTGACCGGCGGGTTTCGCTTCCTCAAGCTGATCCTCGGATTCTATTCTGTCGGAGACGTCCTTTGTTCCTTCGCCATCGGCTAAACCCATCCCGCCCTTCTCCGTCTTCTCGCCTGATTCGTCCGTCTCGCCCTCCTCGAGATCTAAATCCTTTGGCACACAGAATCCATTTGCAGCCAGGTCTAAGAAGACACTCAATTGCAAATACAGCATTTTGCATGTAATGCGAAACGATGCCACTTGCTCGTTTAAATAAAACTGGGCGAGCAAAATATATTGTTCCAGCAGTGGCAAACATTTTAGGAGCAATCTGAAAAAAATAATATACGTTTATCAATCAATCCTTATCGCAGAAAATATTCTCATTTAAATCCAATAGAAAAACAGAAATTTATAGTTTCTACGTTTACGAAATTTTAATATATTTTTCGTTTATACATAAAATATATTTTTTAAATATGTGTCACGTTTAAAAATTATTTATGCTGCTTGAAATGTTAAATAATTTTACCTGATACAATAATTCGCTGATTGTAGGTCGAATTGATTCAACGATAGCAAAAGATTGGAAAATGATTCGGATATTGTAGACAACTTCAATTCGGTTATATCCTTTTCAAGGAATTCAACAAGTTTCTCGCTCATTTGGTTTTCTTCGATTTCTTCCTCCTCGTTATCATTATCATTTTCATTATTATTCAACTGTTCATTTGAATGTGTCACGTCGTCGTTCAAATTAATGTGATTTTTATATTTCTTCTGTATGACAAGTAATATCGTGCTTATTAATTGTTCTAGAGCTAACTCATACTGTTTGATATCGTTATCATTCTCTTTTAATTGCTTCCCACTCTCGATTTCCGCGAGCCTTCGCAATTTTTCATAATTACGAAGGAAGCATTCCATCTTCGCGTCTAAGAACACTATATGTTCGCAGATAGGATGCGCAACATCCGCATTCTTAAATAACTGTTCCAATTCTTTAGACCGTTTTCTCAGAACTTCGATCGTCGCGCAGCATTCCGCCAATAATTCGAAGTGCTTCGAACTTAAGAACGAAGCACGGATGGAATGTTCGGAATAATCCGCCGATAGCACTTGGAACGGCACAAATAAGGCATGGAAGCGTTTCGCGATCACTTGTATGCAATCCAGGCTGTCCTTCAGCAGGACGTTCGCATTTCTCCAAACTTCGTCGTTTCGAGAGGCGGCGATTACGGGAAGCGCGTTCGTGTTCAACGTGAGCACAGCTCTGTTCGGTTCAGACGGCGATTCCGCGGGGCAGCATTGCAGAAACAGCAGCAACTGCTCAAATCCGGTCTCCAGCGTGATGAGCAACGTCTTCAGGCCCTCGGCGCACTCTCGGCCCTCGCGTTGCTTCGAGACACTCGAATCCTGCTCGCGCGTCTCGGACAGATTTGAAATCTGCACGCGAAGCGAGGAGAATCGATCGAACGACTGGACAATCGTCGTTTTCTGTCGGTGCGCCATCAGCATCATGTGCGCGGAATATCCTCGACAACGTTCTATGTTCTGCAGTCCGAGGTCGGTCCGGCTTGTGTTGAGCATCGCGTTGAGAGCATTCAGCCTGATGAGCGACTTGTAGTAATATTTCTCGCAGCCCTGCCACTGCAGCAGTGCGTGCTGATCGATCTTCTTCAGCCTGAAGTACCGGTCGATCGCGGACAGATCCAAGGGTGACACAGTGAAGTCTATCACCTTGTCCGCGCTGTTCTTCAGCGTCAGCACGCCAGTGCGATAGGATACGCCCATGCGCGTCAGCGTCTTAAAGTAATTAGCGAGCGTCATCTTCTTTGCTGCAGGATGCTCTTCGCCTGCGACTTCTGCCTGCC